AAATAACTATTTCATTAATTTGTTACTTTAATTTTTAAGGTATTTATTGACGTGAGAAAAAAAATACCCCCGTTTTATTTGAATAGGAGGCCATCGATGACGAGTACAGACGAGAATTAAATAAATGAGCAGTTCTGAGCGTGTGCTTTATTCAGCGCTGAGAAAGAATAATTTGCAAAACAATTTTCTTTAAAAACGTTAACACTTTCAATAAAATGCTGGGAGTCCAGTCAACACATCTCGTTTCTTTGTAAAGCAAAACTTTAAATACATTTTTTAGCACATGACTCACAGTTTATTAACAAATGTGAGGAGGTAGTGAGGCTTTCCAACTAAACTAAACTGAACTGAAAGGTGTTCTTGTCACCCTCCTTTATTTTTTTACAGCTCAAACGCTGCATTTCAAAAAGTTAACAGTCACAAAACAGACCAACTAATTACTTTCAGTTGTCACTTTTTTTATTAAGCATATAAATACAAATTTGACATAAGGAGGAGATCACCATCCCCCTCTCACACACTTCCAATAACTAACTAAATAATGACATATTCATTAACGGTGTTGAATTTAAGAATAAAAATGCTGTCATGATTTGCAAATCTTCTATTAAAACTGGGCTACAACACAAAGCTAAAGGAAACGTACACTTTCAAGAAGGAATGCATAACCTCAACTACTTAGCAGGTCAAAATTTTAAAACAGATTTGGTACGATCTGTTAGCATTTCAAGTATATGTTGTGGATGACTCTCTGCTACTACTACACCCAATTTATGCACACTATTTGTAAATTTAACTGAATTATAATCATGTTGATGTTTAGGAGAATTAGCTTTAACAGTCATTCTGAATCAGGTTGATTCCAAAAGTCACTCAGTCGTACAATAATTTACAACAAACTTTAATAAAAATGTTTGAGCTCTGAGTTTGTGTTTAGCATGACTCTAAGCTACTACTACACCTCAATAGCTCATTATTGTAAAACTGACTGATTTACATGTCTCTTTGTGTGGGCTAATGTTGATTACCGTAATTGCCGGTGTACAAGACGATACTTTTTTCTCACACTTTGCACCCCGTGGTTTATATTCAGGAGCGGCTAATTTATGCATTTTTTTTCTCATAATTTTCACGTTATATTTATATATTTATTATAGCTCCCAGCAACCACCCCTCTTGGGGGCAGGCTTTTGTGAGACAGAGTGAATGCCTCAGGTAACTACATGCACAAAGCCTCTTGCTCAGGGTTTCAAATTCTCTACCTCAACTCCACCCACTCTGTCATCATGTGACCAGAAGTCTAACCTGAATGACCACTGAGGTATACACTCGAGGACCATCCCCCAAGATAATGTGCAATCATTTCTTCAGATTTATTAATTTCTTGACTTAGATTAATTTTTTCGTTCCCGTATTTTACGCTTCATGCACAGACCTGTTCATTTGTTCAACAATAATGGAGGAAAATGCACGGAGAATTTCTTACAATGCAGCTTTCAAATTAAAAGCGATCTGGCTGTCGATGGAAGAAACAGAGCTGCTGCCCATTAGCTTTGCATGTTATTCTGTGGTAACCATTCCTTCTTTTAAAACACTGAATATTGATATAGAGCTTGTACAAATATTTTAGTATTTGGCTAGATAAACATCTCACTGTTTTTTGTTTTGACTGAAATCATGTTTTTCCATTTCTTCGCATAAGCAACTAGTTTTTAATCACATAGATTTGCTTCCCCCACTACATTAGCTAAACTGGGCTCCATTAACCTGCTCTGAGGTAGGGCCGGACAATAATTCAATATCATTATTCAATAACGATGATATGAGTTTTAAGCACATTTTTGATATTTTGATATGATTACAGAGTTTCACTGACACATTTGTTTTTCTGTTCGGGTTGAAGCAGCCGTTTCAACCCGAACAGAAAAAGCAGCGACACAACTACGTAAGTGCGTGATGACGTGCACCACACACAGCTCGAAGGACTCAGTGGTAGCAAGATAGGCTAAGCTCCAACGCGCGGTAAGTTTTCGCTTCATAATGGGTGACCGTCAGAATGTGACTGGACAAACTTTCACAAGTGAAGAGAAAGCAGATGACAAAAGTGATAAGAGAGGAAAGACCCATTCGGCGATGTGGAAGTGGTTCGGCTAGCTAAGATCGGATAAACTGCAGGTTTCAGTGTGCTGCAAAATGTGCCGGAGAGTCGTTCCAGCTAGCGACGGGAACACATCTATAGAAAATGCTGAGAGTCAGAAGATGAAGCGCAATAAAAGTTTGAGCCAATCTTGTCCCTGAAACAACACCCCCAGCTGTATCAAAAGAGAAACACATGCAGCAAACGCAGACATTTGCTACATTGGTTAAGGCAGTCCTTAAGGCAGCCCCCCCACCCCCCCACCCACACACACACACACACACAAACACACACACACACACACAGGTTTGTTTTGCTATCTTTGTGGGGCCTTTGCATTGACTTCCATT